CTGGGCCCGAGTCAGCTGCCAGACCCCACGAGGCCCTCCTGCCTTGACTGTCCCCCTCGGGGACACATTCCCCAAGTGGGAGGGTTCTGGAGAAAGCGAGACTTGGATGCGGTGAGGCCTTGTCACCAAGATCCGTGACTTATGCCAAACCCCGGCTTTCATCTCGCTCGGAATCGTGCCGTGCGTGCGGCCCCGTGGGGATGCCCTTGGCTTCTGCTGCACGGTGTGCACATGGCCAGTGGGAATGCGGGGTCCGGTGAGGTAGTGGGGTCCCTCGCAGAGTGGGCAGCAGTCACCTCTTCTTCCTCCAATGTCCCCCCTTCTCCCCAGCTCAAGGCTTGGTGTCCCCACTGGGTGTGTCCGCGCAGCTGCGGTTTCTGGCCCTGGAGCTTGTGGTGTGACCAGTGGTGTGTGAGGGGGCTCTGGCCAGGTGGAGCGGGGTGCACTCCCCTCGTGCGGGGTTGGAGACAGCACGGGGAGCCCAGAGCGGGGGCCGGGATGGGGCGAGCGGGGTTCACCTTCCCCAGCCTGGGATCGGTGTCTAGCAGTGTGTCTCTTCCGCTGCAAGCTCTGTTTTGCTTTTTAGCTGAGATTTATTGGGTTTCTGCTGGGGCAGGCCTGTGCTAAACATTTACACTGCAGAGCCTCATTTAACCTCCCTAGTGACCAAGGGAAGTGCCCTGGACCCTTATTGCACATGGGCTTTATTTTATTTTACTCTACAGTACCGGGGATACATGCCGGGCCTTTGTGCTGAGCCACGGCATAGCCCTTTTTAATGCTCTCTTTTGAGAAAGAGTCTCACTAAGTCCTCTGAGTTGCCCAGGCTGGGATCAAATTTTTGACCCTTCTGCCTCAGCCTCCCAGAGTGGTGGTATCGCAGGCCTGTGCCACTTGTAAATGGGCTTTAGAGTGGCTTTGACTTAAGGTCTCCCAGCCAGTGGGAAGATAACCCTTTGGACAGCTGATCTCACCTCTTCTGAGCCTCACTTTCCTCATTTGTAAAAGAATAGTATAATGGAGCCACGCATGCTGGTGCCAGATTGTAATCTCAGCGCTCCAGGAGGCCGTGGCAGGAGGATCACACGTGCAAGCCCAGCATGGGCAACGTGGCAAGCGCTGGGGATGAAGCTCTGTGCAGAGGCCCTGGTTCAGTCCCCAGTACTGGAAAAAAAAGGGTAATAATGATGGCACTAAGCACTGCAGACACTTTACTGTATGCCAGGTCTTGGCAGAGGACTCTGTGTTCTTTTCATCTTTGGATGCTCATAACCACCCAAAGCAACAGACATGCAACCTGCAGCTTAGACAGGCTGTGTGTTAGGGTCGAGGGCACCAGCACATGCCTGGAGCCAGGGCTCTTTGGGAGAGGGTGGCTGGGATATAGGGCAAGGCCTGGAGTTACCTGCAGACACGATCCCTACCCCCAAAGACACCCTAGCGCCGGCCTCCGAGCTCAGAGACACTGCGCGCCAGGACCTGGAGCAGCCAGGCTGAGGCCTCTCCTGCGCGTCCTTCTCGGGTTTCAGGTTCCGGGACTCCGGGCCAAAACAGGAAGAGGAAGCGAGGGGCTGGGGAGGGGGCGGGAGGCGCGGGCCTTTCCCAGGTGAGTTCAGGGCTGGCAGCGGAGACCAGGGGCCGCTCCAGGAGGACTGCAGGATGTGGCCCTAACCTGCCTGCCCTGCTCGCCCTCCCTGCTGCCCCCTGTCCCTCACCCGCATGGACCAAGAGTTCTCAGGGTTGGCTTTAGGCCACCAGTGATCTTAAAAACAGTCAAAATCCTGATGGCACTGCCCCAAATTTACACAAGCTGGAACTGTTTGGTAAACTCCCAGGCTGCAAAATATGTATCTTCGTCAGTTGTGGGAATTCTTTTTTTTTTTTCCTCCTTTACTGGGGATTGAATTCATTGCCCTCGTACTGAGCTGCATCCCTAGTGCATATGTTTTAAGACAGAGTCTTGCTGACGTGCCCAAGTCGGGCTTATACTTTTGATCCTCCTGCCTCAGCCTCCCAGAGCAGTGGTGTTAATTATGAGAACTCTTAGGCAAAACAAAGGAGCCCATTGAAATGGTCTCAGCAGACCTATGAAAATATAAACCTGGATGTTTTAAGATCGAGGGGCTGGGGATTTAGCTCAGCGGCAAAAGAGCCTGCCTGGCAAGCGCAAGGTCGTGAGTTCGGTTCCCGGTACCGGAGAAAAACAAAAAACAAACAAACAAAAAAAAAAGATCGCCCACCCTTTTCCTGAGATTCTCAGAGGTCAGCTCAGCCCTGGAGTATGACCTTGATCTAGCCACTCCTCCGTTTTCAAAGAGAGGGGAGAGACCTGCCCAAGGCCCCAGGGCAAAGCCAGGGTGTTGATGGGGCCCTGTGTGCCTGTGTGGCTTTCTAGCTGAGCTTGTCCTCTGGGACAACTTCAGGGAACAGTGGTTTTGCATTTTATTTTATTTATTTATTTTTTTGTTTTGTTTTTCTCTGGTACCGGGAACCAAACTCACGACCTTGCGCTTGCCAGGCAGGCGCTTTTGCCGCTGAGCTAAATCCCCAGCCCCCAGTTTTGCATTTTAGCTTCTAAACTGATTAAGTGGGCATGGTGACACCCTTGTGATCCCAGCACCGGGTGGGCAGGGCTGAGGCAGGAGGACCACTGTGAGTCAGAGGCCAGCCTGGACCACATGGCCAGACCCTGTCTCAAAGAAACAAAAAGAAACAAACACACTGAATAATAATGATAGAGCTCACTTCCCGGTACCGGAGAAAAACCAAAAAAAAAAAAAAAAAAAAAAAAAAAAGAAAATGATAGAGCTCACTTTTCCTGACATTTTACTGCATGCTGAGCACCAAGTATTTCGTGTGGATTAACTAATGCTCCTGACAACCCTCTGAGGCTTGTACCTTTACTCCCATTTACAGATATGTAAACGGAGGCAGAGAAAGTTTAAAGAACCTGCCAGAGCCGCACAGTCTAGCAAAGGGCAGAGGTGTGAGAGTTGGGAGCCAGGCAGGCCGGCAGAGGAGAGCTGACCCCTGCCTGGGGTCCTGCTGCAGGGCTCAAGCTGCAGCAGCTTCCTCCCTGCCTGGGGCAGTGTAGTGCAGACTGTTGGGCCAACTTTAGCATCACACTCCCATTCTGAACCTGAGCAGGTGCTTTGTAGAGCGTCACTACCCTGCCAGGCGTGGCAGTGCACACCTGCAGTCCCAGCTACTCAGTATATGTGCTGCCGAAGCAAGCACAATCCCAGCTACTTGGGAGGCTGAGGCAGGAGGATGGCAGGTTCAAGGCCAGCCTGAGCAACTTAGTGAGATGGTCTCAAAGTCACAAAAAAACTGGCATGCATCTGTAATGCCAGCACTTGGCAAGGCTGAGGCCAGAAAATCACCAGTTGGGGGCCAGGCTGTCTCAAAATAAGTAATCCAAAAAGGGCTGAAGGGGTAGGTCAGTTTGAAGGCCCCCGGTTTAATCCCCAGGACCACACACAAAAAAGCAGGGCGGCCACGCGTAGTGGTGCACGCCTTGGGATGAGGAGGCAGGAGGATTGCTGTGAGCCCCAGGCCAGCCCTGCCACACAGAAGCCCTTGTCTCAGAAAGCCGACAAGACAGGCAGGGTGGAGGTGACTCGGTGGGTAGAGCGCTCTCCTGACGCGTGCGGCCGTGGCTTCAGTCCCCCCCAGTGCTGCTGGCTGTCGTTGACGCCTGTGGCCCTTGGCCCCCAGCACTCTGGGGCCGGCCTGGCAGCCGCTCGCTGCCCCGCTGCTGCTGCACCAAATCTGATGAGCTGGCCGCTTCGCATGAGGGTGATTTGCAGGGCCCAGGTGACGGGAGCGGGGGGCGCACCCTGGAGTGTGGCCCTGATGACCCCAGGTCTCCAGGAACCAGGGAGCAGTGGGTGTATCCCCCACCCTCAAGACTGCCTGGGGCTGCTGGTGCCTGCCTGCCTGCTGGGGTTGAGCCTGGCTCTTCCCAGAAGCCTCTGTGTTTCCTCACTGTATGTGCTGCGCTCCTTCCCAGAAGGGCCTGCGTGTGCCCTGGGGCTGCCCTGTCCAGCCCCAGCTGCGGCTCCTGGTCCCCGGCGCAGGGCAGGAAGGAGCAGCCGTGTTGGGGTGTGAGAGAGAGTAAGACCGACGGGTGGCCAGGGTGCTTGTTGAGGATCGAACCCACGCCCTTGCATTACTGTGGAGTGACAACCCAGCCCCTATTTTAAATCACTGTAAGATGTGCATAATGTCAGATTTACTATTTTAGCCATTTATGGTGGTTGGTTGGCAATGGCAGTGCTACCATTTGGCAAGTGTTTTCCATGTTCCAGGAACTCTCATGTAATTGTTAAGGTAATCCTGTGTATTAATAGGGTATCCCTATCTTACGTGTTAAGCTCTCCTGAGGATAGCCAGGTGTAGTGGTGCATGCTTGTGATCCCAGGCACAGCGCCTGCCTGGCAGGCGCAAGGTCGTGAGTTCAATTCCTGGTACCGGCAGAAAAAAAGAAAAAGACTAGCCAGGGATACATAGTAAGTTCAAGGTCAGCCTGAACTACATAGCAGAAAAAAAGAGAGAAAGGAGGTTGAAGCTGAGAGGTTAAATGACTTTCCCAAGGACACTCAGCGAATGGGCTCCAAGCGTGCTTTTTCACCGGTTTTCTCTCCTCTCTCAAGCCGGGTGGATGGGTTTCTTTAGGGCCCCCACTCTCTTTGTGATACCAGGAATTGAACCCAAGGCTTTCACTCTTAGGTACATCTAAGGTCTTTTTCTAATTTTTGCGCTCACCCAGGGCCTCATTCAAGTTGCCCAGGCTGGGCGCGAACTTGAGATATCTCTGCCTCAGCCTCCCAGAGTGCTGGCATTCCAGGTGTGCACCACCACACCTGGCCTCATGATGCCCATTACATCCACGTGGAAATTGAGGCCCAAGGTCCCAGAGGCTGGCGGGAGGAGGAGCAGGACTTGAGCATGGCTCTTTGCGCCCTGCCACTCATCCAGCTGCCTGTCCCCTCCCCCAGGTGGCCATGGTGGAGGTGCAGCTGGACGCCGAGCATGACTACCCGCCGGGGCTGCTCATCGCCTTCAGCGCCTGCACCACGGTGCTGGTGGCTGTGCACCTGTTCGCACTCATGATCAGCACCTGCATCCTGCCCAACATCGAGGCGGTGAGCAACGTGCACAACCTCAACTCGGTCAAGGAGTCGCCCCACGAGCGCATGCATCGCCACATCGAGCTGGCCTGGGCCTTCTCCACTGTCATCGGCACGCTGCTCTTCCTGGCCGAGGTCGTGCTGCTCTGCTGGGTCAAGTTCCTGCCGCTCAAGAAGCAGCCGGGCCAGCCTCGCCCCACCAGCAAGCCGCCTGCCGCTGACATGGCAGCCAACATCAGCAGCGGAATCACACCGGGCCAGGCGGCGGCCATCGCCTCCACCACCATCATGGTCCCCTTCGGCCTGGTCTTCATCGTCTTTGCCGTGCACTTCTACCGCTCACTGGTCAGCCACAAGACGGACCGACAGTTCCAGGAGCTCAACGAGCTGGCCGAGTTCGCGCGCCTGCAGGACCAGCTGGACCACAGAGGGGACCACCCGCTGACGCCCGGCAGCCACTATGCCTGAGCCTGCCGGGCCCAGGCACTGAGGCCTGCACGCCCTTCCTTCCTGGTGGCCTTGACCCACGCCAGCTCAGGGGCGCCTGCGCGGGGCCCTGGCTCCGCGGGCACAGAGAGGCAGGAAGAGGCTTTCGAAAAAGGGACTGCACCTTGAGACTTTGCTCAGAGAGAATAAGCACTTCCTGTTCTTCCAGGGCCAGAGAGAGGACAGATGCTCTCTTTGTCCCCTCCCTCCACCCCCATGTCATTGCCACCCAGATGCTTCTGTCCCCGCCTCCCTCCCCACTTGGTGGTGTGTATGTGTGTGTGTGTGTGTGTGTGTGCGTGCGTGTGCGTGAACATAGAAATATACTACTAAGGGACACCTCCTCCTTGTGTCTGCATGTGTGTTTCGGCTCGACTCCCTGGTGTGATTTCTCCTGGAGTTCGGGTCGGGTGAGCCTCCAAGCAAAGTTTCAAAGCTTTTGGGAGCCAGATGTGATGGCCCAACGCCTGTAATGTTAGCACTCCGGGAGGCTGAGACAGGAGGACTGCAAGTTTGAGACCAGCCAGGGCAACTTAGGGAGATCCTGTGTCAAAATAAACAAAAATGAGGCTGGGGATGTAGCTCAGTACGAAGATCTGGGTTCAGTCTCCCGTACAGCAAAATTTAAAAAGAGGGGACTGGGTCTGTGGCCTGGAGTGCAGCCCTTGCCTGACTTGCAGGAAGCCCTGAGTTGGATCCCCATCACTGCAGAAATAAAAGAGCTTTTAATATTTTTTTTTGCAGAGGGGAGAAATTTCCAAGCAACACGGAACAGCTGCATGACTGCTAACCAAAATGTGCACACACTCATTTCTTTCTGTTGGAGGCAGTTACGTTCTGTGAAGTCACCATGAACCGTGAATACTGGATTAGCGGCTATGGGAACCACTGCTCCTAGGGGAAGCCAGGAGCCAGCCTTAGGCCTAATGTTTTGTCACTGATAAACATGCTAGCTTGTCGTCTGTATAAAGACATCTTTATATTGTTTCAGGAACACTGAACTCACGGCTAATAGCACTGTAGCTCAAACCAGAACAAAGCTTATCTAATACATGGGGTTTTTTTTCTTTTTTTTCTGTCTTTTTGAGGCAGGGTCTCACTATGCAGTTCAAGCTGCCCTTGAGCTCACTTTGTAGTCCAGGCTGGTCTCAAACTCATGACGATCCTCCTGCCTCAGCCTCCCATTTGCTGGGATTACAGGCATTTGCCACCATGCCCAGCTAATACATGTATTCTCTCTGGAAGACATTTTTAAAAATTTGAGGGCTTGGGCTGGGGATTTAGCTCAGCGGCAAAGCGCCTGCCTGGCAAGCGCAAGGTCCTGAGTTCAATTCCTGGTACACCCCCCAAAAAAAACCAGACAGGGTCTTGCTGTGTGGTCCAGGCTAGCCTTGCATTCATGGAGCCCAGGCTGGCTCTAAATTCAGCAGTTCTTCTGCCTCAGCCTCCCAGGTACGTACCCCCATGCCCAGCTATCTGTAAGACATAACCTTCATGGGTTTAGGATGCCACACAAATCCCTTTGGTGCTAAAGAGATTGAACCCAGCGCTTTTGCATCTCTGACTGAGCTACATCCTTAGGCCACTGGGTTCTACTTTAAGCACCTTTGGCACTAATAAAAAGCACAAAAATGTGACATTGAATAGACTGAAAAGGGCTGGGATGTAGCTCAGAGGAAGCACAAGCGCCTGCCTGGCAAGCGGAAGGTCCTGAGTTTGATTCCCGGTACCAAAAAGGAAAGAGAAAAGGGGCAAGATTTGAAAAAAAAAAAAACTGAAAAAGGGTACTTGTTACCAGTATGGGAGCTGAGTGTCCCTGTTAGACCTTAGCAATTTGGTAAATTCACAAATACTGGAATTAGAAAGCCAAGCCTGGTGGCACATACTTGTAATCCCAACACTCGGGAGGCTGAGACAGGAGGATCACCCTAGGTTTGAAGCCAGCCTGGACTACGCAGTGAGACCCTGTCTCAAAGCAGCAAAAACAAAAACCTGAGGGTAGTGCAGTGCTGACTTCGTGGTTTGTCACCCTGAATGCCTCCTCCTGAAGCTAAGGCCGCTCCCCTGCAGAACCTAATTCAGCATCCCCTTCAGGCAGCCTGGTCCTTGTACACCACAGCTGCATGACACTGATGCCCAGTTCCCCACCTGTGCAGGAGTCCTCTAGCCAGGCTGCTTCCCGTCCTTTGCACATGCGGCACAGCGCTGCTAGCTGCGCCTCGTCTCCCTCCCTTGGATGAGTTCCTCAGCCTTTGTTCTGCAGGGTGCGTGTTCTTGGAGCGTGCGGCCCCCTGCTTCTGTAGAATGCCCTGCGCGTTGGGTCTGTGCAGCTTTCTCATCCTCCCCGCGGGAGGGTGTGGTGTGTGCTGGGGAATGTGAGGGGAGCCGCACAGGGAGCCGCGGAAAGCAGCGAGGTCCGTTAGCTGGTACACACGCGGGCCGCCCCCAGCTCGGCTGGCACCCTTCCGAGCAGGGACTGCTGTGACCTCCTATTCCGCAGATAACAAAATGGAGGCGCAAAGGAGTTGAATCATCTGGCCAGGGTCCGGGGTGACAAACGCTGTGGCTTGGCCGAGGCCCTCGCGCAGGTCTTACGGGGCCGACTCTGGGTTAGCAGAAAATTGGGACGATCAGGTGCACTGGGCCCATCTCGCTGAGTGACAAACGCAGGAGCTGAGATGTAGCCAACCCGGGCCCGGCCCCCGGCCAAATTTTGCCACAGCCCGCCCAGCCCGGGCCAGCTTCCCTTCTAAGTGCATTGCCTGTCAGGCCCATGGAGGCCCCGAGTTGAAGACCTCTGCTTGTCCCAGTATATAGTTTGGGCGTCCAGCATAGCCGGAGGCCGGGGTTGACACACGTGACCCACCAGTCACCTCAGATTCGCCCCATGTCCGGCGTCCTGTGAGCCCAGGAACCACCTCTGGCTAGGCACAGGCCGCGCTGGACAGAGGCCACTGTACGCAAGCCTCTGTCTCCCCAGAGAAGCCCTGGATGCCCTCTGTCCATTTCTCTAGCTCCCCGCTCCTTTCTGTCTACTTGGGGAGGGTAGTGAACCCAGGGCCTTCACACTGAGCTATATCCTCAGGCCTTTTTAATTTTGTATTTTGAGACAGAGTCTTGCTAAGTTGCTGAGTTGCCCAGGCTGGGATGGAACTTGTAATCCTCCTGCCTCAGCTTCCCAGACTGCTGAGATTACAGATGCATACCACTGCACCCAGCTACACCTCCCCTACTTCTAAATGACTTTATAGTTCCATTTTACAGATGGAGCAACTGAGGCCACTTGCTGAGGGCCACGTGGCCTGTTAGTCAAGGTTCTTGGATCCAGCTCTATATCAGAACTCCCTAAGGAATGGATAGGTATCCCTGGGCATGGGACCTAGACATCCCATACCCTGTTTTTGTTGTTTTGTGTGGTACTGAGGGTACCAGGGCCTCATGCATATTGATGTTAGCATTCTAACACCCACCTCCGTGCACAGCCATTCATTTGTTTATTTATTCATTAGATTTTTGTGTTTTGTTTTTGGACACAGGGCTGGCCTTGAATTCACTATATAGTCGAGGTTGGCCTCAGCTTCTCCAGGGCCCGGATTTCAACCATACGTCACTATGCCCAGCTATTTTTCTTGTTTTTTGGTTTGTTTGTTTTTGGGGCTTTGAGATAGGGTCTATGTAGTTCAGGCTGGCTTGAACTCACTATGTAGTCCAGGCTGGCCTTAAATTCAGAATCCTCCTGCCTCAGCCTCCCAAGTAGCTGGGATTCCAAGCATGCACACTGCACCCAGCCATCACAGCTTTTAAAGCTTCCACAGGATCCCGAGGGGGGAACCCTGTTCTGAGGTGCAGAGGTGGGCCCCGCCCGGTGGTGGCCAGTGTGGCGGGCACTGCTCACTCCCACGGGGTGACTGAAGACCTGCAGCCCCTCCCCTACTCCGCCCCCAGGCGACCCGGTGTGGCATGGCCCACCTTTCCTCTCTCCGCCTTTCTGCTCCCCTCCTGCCTCTCACCACAGGCCCTGGGAAGCCACCCCGCGTCTTTATTGCCGCACACTCAGGCCAAAGGCCGTGACAGCAGGGTCCCCACGGCAGCCGGGAGAGTCGCACCGGCCCCTGTTGGCAAAGAGCACCAGGTGCTGGGGAGGGAGGCGCCAGGGTGTTCCCCGAGAGGCCGCGCTCCTGGCTTCTCCGAGCTGCACCGGTCTGAGCAGTCCTGCGGGGGAGGGGAAGGCGTCTGAAAGACCTGGACCAGCGCCCTCTTCTCCGTCCTCACACACCGCCAGAGGGGCTGCGGAGGACCCGGCTGACAGATGGGCGATGTGGGGTCCCCACCTCATCCCCACACTGACTCCAGCCCAGAGCTCACCCCGGTGGCCCAGCGTGGCGGCCTGTGCCTGTAATCCTCACACTTGGGAGGCTGAGGCAGGAGGATGGCAGAAAGTTCAAGGCCAATTTGAGCTACATAGTGAGCCCCTATCTCAAAAGATAAAAACAAAAAAGCTGGGTGTGGTGGTACATGCCTGTAATCCCAGCACTTGGAAGGCTGAGGCAGGAGGATCACCAGTTAGAGGCCAGCCTGGAGTACAAAGTGAGTTCAAAGCTAGCCTGAACTGTGTAGTGAAACCCTGTCTCAAAAAGACCAGAAAAAAAAAAAACCACAAAAACAAGAACCCAGTCCTCTCTGCCCACCCCCAGACTTCAGGAGACCTGCATGTCATTTGGGCCCTGGAGCTGCCTCCCCGCCTCACCTGATTCCTCACCTGACATCAGTCCCCTTCCTCTTCCTCCCCCTCCTCTTGTGTCTGTGAGAATACAGCCAGGGCGTCCTGGAGCACGCCATCAGGGTCCAGAAGCTTGAGCTGCAGCGGCCAGGGAGGGATGCGCTAAGGAACAGGCCCAGCCTGCCCGAAGCGGCCCTGGTTTCTCCTGGGCTCTGTCCCTCTCTGCCTGTGGCCCCAGGGCCCCGGAGGGCTGCCCACCTCAGGAATGGGGAACTGGGTGGGTGCAGGGGCCTCATCACGGCCAAAGTCGATCACGGTGCCGCACTTGGCCACACCCTCCACCCAGAAGCCCTCGAAGAGCTGGCCATGGTCCAGGTGGAAGAAGCGTCCATGCCCGTGCTTCCGGCCTCTCTCCCAGCTGCCCTCGTAGCGGTTCCCGTTTTCTGGGAAAGGACAGGAGTGTGGACGCTGGGCACAGCCAGCCCAGCAGCCAGGGCCTCCACCAGCCTGGGGTCGCCGGCAAGTGGGCGCTCCATGTGGAAGTGTATCACCAACAGTAACCTTCACAGTAATTTTAGGAGGTGGCTTTTTGTTGTTGTCGTCTTTTTGAGACAGGGTCTCGCTATGCAGTTCAGGCTGGCCTTGAGCTCACTTTGTAGCCCAGGCTGGCCTCAAACTTGCAATGATCCTCCTGCCTCAGCCTCCTGAGTGCTGGGATTACAGGCGTGCGCCACCACGCCTGGTCTTAGGAGGTGGCTTCTATTTGCGTTGTTTACCATCATCCAAGGACTAGTTCATTGATGAGTTGCTGAATGGGCTCATAAGAGGTGGGGCCAACGGGGCATCATGGCAGATGCCAGTAATCCTAGTACAGTGGGAGGCTGAGGCAGGAAGATCAAAAGTTTGGGACCAATCTGAGCAATGTAGCGATTTAGCAATACCCTGTCTCAATATTTAAAAATTTCAAAAGGCCCAGGGACGTAGCTCAGTGAGAAAGCCCTGGATTCCATCCCCAGCCCAAAAGGAAAAAAAAAAAAAAGGTAGGGCCCTCGTTGAAGAAAGTGGGTCATAGGAATGTGGCCTCAGAAGCCACTTTCTGTCCGGCTTTGCCCTCTCTGCTTTCAGGGTGCCATGACAGGATAGAGCCAGTGGACCATGGACTCCAGCTCTGAAACCGTGAGCCGAAACAAACCCTCTCCTCCATGAAGTTGTTCGAAAGTGGTTTGTTACAGCAACACAAAGCTGACCGGTGCACCCACCTGTGTGTCCCAGCTGCCCCAAGGAGAAAGGTGAAGCAGAGGGGTGAGGGCCCACACTGCTCAGGGCAGTAGGGAGCTATGGAAGGCCCGAAAGGAGGGCAATAAAGAGGTCCACCTGATGCTCTTCCCTGGTTCCATGCATAGCTGGCTCCTTCCCTTCCTTCAGGTCTCTGTTACAATGCTCAAATGAGGTGGGCATGGTGGCACAAGCCTGTAATCCCAGCACTCAGGAGGCTGAGGCAGGAGGATTGTTGCAAGTCCAAGACCAGCCTGGGCGCCAAAGTGAGCTCAAGGCCAGCCTGAACTGCATAGTGAGACCCTGTCTCAAAAAGACAAAAAGAAAAAAAAAAAAAAAAGACAAAAAGAAAGAAAGAAAAAAGAAAAGCTCAAAGGTCACCTCCTCTGGGAGGCATTCTCTGACCAGAAGTCCAGCTAACAGCTCCTGTTCCCAACCTCTTTGCCATTGTTTCTTAAGAATCCCTAAGCACTTTCTCTTCTCTTTTGTTTTTGTTGAGATACTAGGGATGGAATCCAAAGGCATCATACCCCTCAGCTGCATCCTCAGGTTTGTTTTGTTCCTTTTAATTTGGAGACAGTCTTCCTAAACTGTCCAGGGCGGCCTCTAACTTGAGTTCCTCCCGCCTCAGCCTCCTAGGTAGCTGGGATCACAGGTGTGTGCTCCATAGCACTTTTGACCCACAACTAAGAGACTGTATGACCTTGAGCAGGGGACTTCAATTTTCTTCCCTCAGTTCTGTCTAATTTCTAGAATTGTTTTGAGAATTAAACGACCTCAGGGGCTGGGAATTTAGCTCAGCGCCACAGCGCCTGCCTGGCAAGCTCAAGGTCGTGAGTTCGATTCCCGGTACCGGAAAAAAAACCCACCACCATCACCCCCCCAAAAAAAAAACAAAAAAAAAATGACCTCAGGGCTATGATTATTATAGGTAGTAAAAGCAACTGTCTTATTTATCTGCTTATTGTCAGAGTCCCTTATTTTTTAAATTTTATTTCTTTTTTTTTTGGTTTTTCTCCGGTACCGGGAACCGAACTCACGACCTTGCACTTGCCAGGCAGGTGCTTTGCCGCTGAGCTAAATCCCCAGCCCCTTAAATTTTATTTCTAAGTTCCCTTATTAGAGTGTAAGGGCCCAAAAGGAAACTACAAGGAGGGCAGCTCAGGCTGGCTTTGTGGGGGCGTGGCCAGGCAGGGCAGAGGAATGTGACCTCGAGGGAGGAGGGTCTGGGCGTGGCCGCAGGGCCTTGGGCGGGGCCTACAAAAGTGGGCGGGGCCTGGTTGCAGGGGCGCGCGGGAGGGGCACTCACTCAGGCGCAGCATGCCCTCCCCGTGGGGCTTGTCTTTCCACCAATGGCCCTCGTAGATGTCACCGTTGCTGTAGTACATGCGGCCCCACCCGCAGCGCTGGCTGCCACACCACTCACCCTCATAATACTCCTTGGGTCCGAAAAACTGGACCCCGTAGCCCTGAAAGCAAAAAGGTCCCTGGTCACGGCGTCCCCACCTTGCTAGGGACCCAAACCACACACCTGAGCTGCTTCCGCCCTGCCCCCTGCTGCCGCTGTCAAGCAGCCCCATGGCTTCTCCGCCGTCCCTTCCCCTCCTCTCTACCGGCACTCACCCTCCATACAGTAGCCAGACAGACGTGTGCGTGCGTTGCACCTGGCCCTGGACTATGGTAGGCAAGTGCTCTACCACTGGGCCACGTCTACCCTTTCCAGTCTGACTCTGATGCAAGAGTCCTTAAATTGCCTAGTCTGGTCTCCAACTTGCCATCCTCCTGCTTCAGCCTCCTGAGTTTGCTGGTGTTCACCACCCTGCTCGGCTCAGAAAGATCTTTTTTTTTGAGAGAGGGTCTCGCCATGCAGTTCAGGCTGGCCTTGGACTCACTTATAGCCCAGGCTGGTCTCGAACTCGCAACGATCCTCCTGCCTCAGCCTCCCCAGTGCTGGAATTACAGGCATGCGCCACCCCACCCGGCTTCAGAAAGATCTTTAACCACTCATCTGCACCCCCAAACGCTGGGATCAGCCACTGCCTGCATATCACCCAGGAGGCTGGGTGAAGTAGCCACCTCTACTCAGTCCCTGTTTCCCATTGCCCAAGCTGGGCTTCAATTTTCGCTCCTCCTGACTCAGCCTCCTAGAGTGCTGGACTCACGGGCATTCACCTCCATGTCTGGTAATGCTTCCTGCCTTTGAGTTTGATTCCTTCATCAGTAAAAGGGAAATGATGATGATGATAAGCTTTTCTGAGAGTTCATTCGGCTGCTGCCTTCTCATCCCAGGCTCACAATAGTAGCTGCTCAATAGCAATACTGTAGTTATTTTTGAGACACAGTCTCTATATGTAGCCCGGGCTGGCCTCATGGGCTCATGTGGTCCTCCCGCCTCAGCCTCCCAAGTACCTGGGACTACAGGTGTGAATCACCACCTCTCACTCATGACACTGTCGTTAGCTGTCGCCACGGCCCATGGTGAGGATCTGTCCAAGTCTGTGGAGCCGGCTGAAGAAACTAGTCCCCGCCTCTGCCTGGGTCTACCCCCTTCTTCCTTTCCGGTCTGTGGCCACGGGCATGGCCCTCTGCTCCTATTTCCTCCCCTGCCCTTTGCCCCAAGCCCATAGAAGGGCCATTCTCCGGAAGGGACACCCAGGGGAAAGGAGGCCGGAAAGGAGGGGAGAGGGTGGAGGGGGCCTCACTCCACACCTGGCTCCTCCGGAGCCTGCCGCCCTTGCTTCCTGTTTCTCGGGTTTTGTTCCGAGAGGCCTTGTCCATCCCCCACTTTTCCCTCTCCCACCCATCTGGCCACCGTCCTCTCCCCAGAGGACTCTCCCTTTCCACTCAGGCCTCGTTTTTGTTTTTGTTTTCAATTTTGTTTTGAAGCAAGGTTTTGCTAAATTGCCCAGACTAGATTCAAGTTTGCAGTCCTCCTGCCTCAGCTTCCCGGAGTCCACACACGTGGCACAGAACACCTGCTTCCTCAGCCTCTGTGACTGTTCCTCTACACACACACACACACACACACACACACACACACACACACACTGCCTGGCTGTCAGTTTGCCCATGCTGGAAACACTCACCGATTTCTTGTCTCTGTCCCACCAGCCTGAGTACACTCTTCTGTATTTTCCTGTCTCTCGGTCAGGAAGGCTAAGGGTGCCATAGCCGTCTCGCTTCCCATACTTCCAGTCCCCTTCATAGATGGCTCCTGTCTTCTTCCAGACCTGTGTTCCCTTCCCTGGTGACAGATGGGCCAGCACTGCAGGAGCGACCCCCTGGGGCTGGGGGCCCGCCCTAGGCTCCCGTAGGATGATTCTCTCTAGAGGGGTGAGTCGCTTCTGCAAAGAGCAACTCTAGCCTTTGCCCTGAAGCTAGACTGACAGAGAAATCTGCCCCCAGCGTTTCTGTTTTGTCTTTTTTGAGACAGGGTCTTGCTATGCAGTTCAGGCTGGCCTTGAGCTCACTTTGTAGCCCAGGCTGGCCTCAAACTTGCAGCAATCCTCCTGCCTCAGTGCTGGGATTATAGGCGTGCGCCACCACACCCAGCTCTGTTTTTGAGACAGGGTCTCGCTACATATCTCAGACTGGCCTTGAACTCACTATATTCCAGGATGTCTTCAAACTCATGCTAGAGATCCTCCTGCCTCAGCCTCCTGAGTACTGGGATAACAGGTGTGTGTTACCATTCCTGGCTTTACCTCATAATAATTCCACCTATAACCACAAGTGGCCAAGGTTCCCAGGACATGTTCTGGATATTTTCTCCAGTTCTAAACACACCTGGAGACCCATGTCCTACTAATCCAAGCCCTCCCTGCCCTTGCCCCCTTCCCCACTGCAATCCAACTGACCTGGCTTTCATACCAGCTATGCTCTTACCCCAGGGCCTTTGCACCTGCTTGTCCTTTGGCCTGGACCCTCATTTCCAGAGTCTCATCCTCCCTCCTGTAAGCCTTGCTTCATAGCCCACTTTCTCCATCCCCTCCCTTACCCCATTGTTTCTTTCCATGACCCTTGGGGGTTCCTAACACAATGGCTGTTTCCCTTATTCTGACATTTGTATTAATTATCCATCTCTCCCAGAGGGACGTGAGCAAAGGAATGAGTAAAATGCTTTTTTTTGAGACAGGGTGTCATTGTAGAGCCCAGGGTGGCCTCTAACTCACAGTAATCCTCCTGCCTCAGCCTCCCAAGTGCTGGGATTACAGGTGTGCACCACCACACCTGGCTATGAGCAAAACACTGATGGAGTGTTTAGATGGTTTAATTCACATCTTGGTCCTTAATAGCCTGGGACAAAGCCAACATCGTCCCTGTGAACTTTGTGACCTTGAGCAAACAATTCTTTGGGTTTCTCTGGCCTCAAAGAGTCTTCCTGTGTAAAATGGGAACAAGAATATCTCATAGGACAATCTAGATGTGTGTGTGTGTGTGTGTGTGTGTGTGGTAGTGAAAATTGAACCCATGACCTCACACATGCTAGATGAGTACTGTACCACTGAGCCCCATCCCCAGCCCATCCTAAGTGGTGCATGCCTGTAATCCCAGCACTCTGGGAGGCTGAGGCAGGAAGATCACAAGTTCAAGTTCAGTCTGGGAAATTTAGCAATTTAGCAAGACCCTGTCTCAAAAAGTAAAAAGGACCAAGCATGTAGCTCAGTGTGAAGGCCCAGTGTTGCAAACAAAACAGGCAACAACAACAACAACAAAACAGGACAAGGGAGAGAGATAAAGGAGTGTTGGCCGGGGATGTAGCTCAGCGGCATAAGCGCTTGCCTGCAAGCCTGAGGTCATGAGTTCGATTCCTGTGACCAAAAAAAAAAGGTAGATGCTGGGCATGGTGGTGCGTGCCTGTAGTCCCAGCACTCTGGAGGCTGAGGCAGGAGGATCATTGTGAGTTTGAGACCAGCCTGGGCTGTAAACTGAGCTCAAGGCCAGCCTCAACTGCATAGAGAGATCCTGTCTCAAAAAAAAAAAAAGGAGTTACTGAGCTTTTAAAAAGGAGCCAATATTGAGCATGGTGGTACACACCTGTAAGTCTAACTACTTGGGAGGCTGAGGCAGGAGGATCGAAAGTTCAGGGCCAGATTGGGCAGCTTATCAAGATCCTGTCTCAAAATAAAAAGCAAAAAGGGCTGGGGATCTTAGCTCACCACTCCTTGGGTTTTATTCCCAGTACCACCAAAAAAGAAAAGGAGATGAGGAAAAGGAGAAGGAGGAGGAAGAGGACAGAAATCCTCCCACTGTGACCACATGGGGGAACCTAGGGAATATTATAAGCCAGACACAGAAAGAGAAATGGCTTGTGATCTCAGTTATATGTGTCACCTTTCAAAACCCAAAAAGGTCCTGGAAACAGTGGAGCTGGAGCTGCAGAGCACTCTCACCTCACATGTCTTGTGAGGCCCCACGTTTGATCCCCAGCACCACAAAATAAATAAGTTAAACATAGAATACCATTTGACCCAGCAATTCCGTTTCAATTCTCCAAAGAGAATTGAAAACAGATGTTCAAGCAAAAGCTTGTACACAGCGGGGCTTGGTGGCTTACGCCTGTCCTTCCAGCGCTTGGGAGGCTGAGGCAGGAGGATTGTGAGTTTGAGGCCAGCCCTGTCTCAAAAAAAAGAAAAGGAAAGAAAAGAAACTCTCTGGAATTATAAAACAAGTTAGAAACTTGGTCAGGTTTTCAAATAAAAACGCTTCTCCCCCATTAGGGTGTAGATTGTATCACCAGCGCTCTGGAGCCTGCAGCCCAGAGCCCAGACCTGCAGCTCAGGGGCCCAGTTAGTCTCCCAAGGGTCCCGGGATGGCTTCTGAAGCCACCACTTCTGTCCCCAGTGAGCTCCGCAGGCTGCTCCCGCGGCCCCAGCACTGCCCCCGCGCCGCTCGGCTCCGCTCCGCGCCCCACGCACCGTGCCGCAGGTTGTCCTTCCACTCTCCCGCGTAGTGGTCACCGTTCACGGCATACACCTGGTGCCTCAGGCCATTCTTCTGGGCCCTGTCGTCCCAGCCCTTCCACAGGGGCTCTGACTTCTTCGGGCACTTGGACACGGGCATGTTGGCTGCTTGTGTAGGGCCGCAGGGTGCTGGTGGGGGGTGAGGACATCGGGCTCAGGGCGCCTGGTGTGATGCCAACTCCTGTCACAGCCAAGGGGGGGAGTCATGTGCATGAGAGCAGCCTTTGGTGGGGACCTGCTGTGCTGGAATGACACTGGGCTGTCCCCTCCCCTGCCCTCCCCTGGGGCCCCCTCCTGGGGGGCGGGGTCTGATGGCACAATTGCCCGGGAACTCAGGGAGACCAGAAGGAACCTGGGGCTGTGAGGACACCAGGGAGAAGCTGTCCCTGGAGAGGAAGGACAGTCACCTATTTAACGACCAGAAAGACCAATCTCTGGCCTTGCGTCTGGAGGAGCCTGGGGGAGGGGCAAGGTGGTGCGGAACACTGGGGTCCATGCAAAGGGAGAGGGGTGCCTGGCAGACACCTGGCTCTGGACCCCCTCCAGGGGTGCCCCTTTCCCGCCTGTCCTGCTTCACCTGTGCCCTAGATGGGATGGTGGCAAAGCCTCAGCAGGGGCACGTGAGCTGTTAGGGGAGCCTGGCCGAGAACAACTGTCTAGTTCGATGACAGCTATTTGGGGGAATGAAGGATTTCCCGGGACATCAGGCTAAAGTGTTAAAACAGAGCCAGGTGTGGTGGTGCATGCCTGTAATCCCAGCACTCAGGAGGCTGAGGCAGGAGGATCATTGCGAGACCAGCCTGGGCTACAAAGTCCAGCCTGAACTGCATATCGAGACCCTGTCTCAAAAAAGACAAAAACAAAAAACAAAACAAAACGAAAAACTGAGACAGTCCCAGCTGCACCTGGGCTCTCCGTGAGACTACCCCATCACCTACTGAATTTTCCGCACCAGACCTGGCCATGCCCGTGCTGCTTGGTGGAGTTACTGAGGCAGGCTGGGTGGCTTGAGGCCTTCCCGCAGTTTCTGGGAGCCTGTCTGTGTTCCTTGTGTCCTCAGGACCTCAGTTCTAACATTCATGTCCATCTGTCCATTTCCCTAGGCTCCTTCTTTTCCTAGGGCTACATTCATCAGCCATCCGCAACTTTTATTGAGACAGGGTCTTGCTAAATCACTAAGTTGCCTTGACTAGGCTTGAACTTGTGATCTTCCTGCCTCAGCCTCCCAGAGTGCTGAGTTTACAGGTGTGCATCACCATATCTGGCTACATTTATATTTTACATTCCCTTTAGGTTGTCACTTTGCACCCGTCTGCCAGCTGCTGGACGGTGTGGGAGTCTGGAGTCCCAGGGAGGGCTCAGGCAGGGGAGAGGGGGTCTGGCAGGCTGGGGCAGCAGTGTGAAAAGGTTTTGCTTCGGGCTGAGTGTGGGGTTTCCAATCTGCACTGGAAGCACCCTTGTATGTTCTTGGAGACCAAGCTCAGCCCTACCTGCTCCCTCTGCAATGCTGGGGCTGCAATTCCTTCTCCATGCTCTGGCCCTTACCCCAAGAGCAGTTTCCTCAGCAGGGCCCTGGGAACTGTGTCTTCTCTCTTCCTTTCCCACTATGCTCAGTGCTTGCACATAGTAGGCTTTCAGCCAGGAAGAGCCAAGCAGGCTCTGACTGCATCCTTCCTCTTTTTCTCTTTTCCTTTCTCTCCCTGCCATTTCACTTCCTCCAAGTAAAGTGATTGCCTCAACGGCGACCACCTACTTTTGGGATAAAGAGTGTCCTGGGACCTCAGACTTCCAGAATTTGACTAGTGGGACCTAGACATGAGGGTGCTCGAGCACTGCTCTGTGTCTGAGCCAGAAGTGGGGCCTGGACCATACTGGTGGTTCCAGACTCTGACAGTCATCCTCCAGAAGACAAAAACTGTTCCAGGCAAAGAAAACTGGAAGCAGAATCTGGGAGCAGAAACCAGGCTAGGGTCCTAAATATGTTATTTTCTACGCAGTACCACCTGCTCTAGGATTCATCTTTATATTTAAATCCACTCACTTCAAAAAATTGAAACATTTGTCCAAAAAGTAGACTTTACACATTATTACTAAAGGGGCTGGGGATTTAGCTCAGCGGCAAAGCGCCTGCCTGGCAAGTGCAAGGTCGTGAGTTTGGTTCCCAGTACCAGAAAAAAAAAAAAAAAAAAAAAAAGTGCTACATTAGGGGCTGGGGATTTAGCTCAGCGGCAAAGTGCCTGCCTGGCAAGCACAAGGTCGTGAGTTCGGTTCCCGGTACCGAGAAAAACCAAAAAAAAAAAAAAAAAAAAAGCACATTATTACTAAAAATGGAAAACCACTGTTAGGTACCTTAAGGAGAAGACAACTATAAAAAATAAAAATATTAAAAAGAACCAACTCCAGTCCTAGCTTGATTTTGAGTTTTGTCTTTTTGAGACAGGGTCTCGCTCTGCAGTTCAGGCTGGCCTTGAGCTCACTCTGTAGCCCAGGCTGGTCTTGAACTTACAGTGATTTTCCTGCCACCATGCCCAGCTCCAGTCATAGTTTGATACTGTGGTTTACAGTTGGCTAGGCTCTAAAGTCTCTGTTAAAATGAGGGATGCCGGGGCTGGGGATTTAGCTCAGTGGCACATGTGCCTGCCTGGCAAGTGCAAGGTCGTGAGTTCGATTCCCGGCACCGGAAAATAAATAAATAAATAAAATAAGGGATGCTCAGTGTGATGAGACATGCCTATAATCCTAGCATTTGGGAGACTGAGGCAGGAGGATCTACTGGAGTTCATAGCCAGCCTAAGCTGCTATGTAGTAGAGACCCTGTCTCAAAGAATACCCGAAAACCCAAACCAACCAAACAGATCTCCCCCCCGAAAAAAAACCCCACAAAACCAAAAAGTGAGAGATAAGCAAAAATTGAAATAGGTGTTGCTAGGCATGGTGGCGCACATATATCTATTATCCATAGTGGGCTACTAAGTAAAACCTTGTTTAAAAAAAAAAAAAGGCATAGTGGCAGAAGCTTGTCATCCCAGCACTCGGGGAGGCAGAGGCAGGAGAATCACAAGTTCCAACCCAGCCCGCCAATTTAGTGAGAGTCTGTTTAAAAATTTGAAAAAAAGGGCTGGAAATATAGCTCAGTGGGAAAGCCCTGGATTCAATCCCACATGAGAGAGGAGGGGGTGAGAGAGAGAGAGAATCCATATTAACCCCAAACCCCAAACTCCCAAACTGACACTTTCTCCTTGGCTTACTTAGCACTTTTTGTTTTTCTTCCGGTACCGGGAATCGAACTCACAACCTTGCACTTGCCAAGCAAGCGCTTTGCCACTGAGCTAAATCCCCTAGCTTAGCATTTTGAGAACCCTCTCTCTAATTACTTTTATTTCTTTTAGGTGATAAGGATCAAACCCACTCCCTAGCACCAGGTAGGCAAGTGCTCCACGAGGAGCCACACCCTCAGCGGGAGCCTAATAACTTTCCGACGATGTCTCTGGAGGTTGCTGCTTAGCCAGTGCACCCTAAAACATACCCCCGCCCCACACTTTGGAACACAGACAGGGTCTACTCCAGGAAAGTCTCAGCTTCATTGCAAAGCTGTGGATCGAGAAGGAAAGCCTTGCGGGCCCGCCCAGGTTGTTTGGTCCCTAAATAACAGTAACGGAGGAGAGGACGGGGCGCAGACATCTTGGGGTCAGCACCTCCCTACCCGTCCACCTGCTCCCACCTGCGCTTCCCCGCAGTCTCGGCTTCTTCGAGGTCTCGCTCTCAACATACAGTTGGCGTCCTAGGCTGCCCGACCCGGCCAGGGTCGCTATGGCAACGCGCCGCCCCAGCAAAGCAGCTCTGCAGAGCCCGCCCCTTCCTGCTGAGACCCAGCGGCGGGAAATTTTGAAGGGCAAACCAACGTCGCACGGATGCATACACATCACATACAAAAGTGGGCGCAAGTCCCAAAAGTCACCGTCCTAGTGGGCTGTGGTGGCTCAGGCCTGTAATCTCAGCTACCCAGGAGGCTGAGGCAGAAGGGTGGCAAATTCAAAGCCAGCTTGGGCAGTTTAGTGATTTAGCGAGACCCTGTCTCAAAATTTAAAAAATTAAAAAGCGTTGGGGTTGTAGTTCAGTGCAAAGGTCCTGGGTTCAGTACTCAGTTCTGGGGAAAAATAAAAGCCACAGTCCTTCCAGTGGCCTTGCAGAGCTGAGGGGACCTGCTCAGGCCCTCCCCTTTCCTCTCAGCTGCGTCACCTACTCCTCGACCCAGTCTTTTTTTTTTTTTTTTTGTACTGGGGATAGAACTCACGACCTTGTGCTTGCCAGGCAGGCACTTATGCCACTGAGCTATATCCCCAGTCTTTTTTTTTTTTTTTTTTTTTTTCGATCCAGTCTTTACCTCAGCCACACTCCGCACACTCACTCCCTTTCGTTCTTGGAAAATGCTGGGTTCATCTCTGCTTGGGGCTGCTGGATCTTCTACACCGGCTGGAACCCTGTTTACAATCAGAATTTCCACAGCTACTTGCCAATCCTCAGTCCTGTTTGTGTTTTGTGTAGCGCTTAGCACCAACACATTCGTGTGCACACACACTGTCTTTGAAGATAAAGTTTTTTTTCCACTCTTATTTTCAATAAATAGTAAATATTCAGGGTAGAGTGCTTGCCTAGCATGCATGAGGACCCGGATTCAACTCCCACTACTGGAAAAAAAAAAAAAAAAAAACTCATGCTGAGGTTGGTAGTGCATGCTTATAATGCCAGCACTCTAGGAAGCTGAGGCAGGAGGATCCCAAGGTTGTTTTTTGTTTGTTTGTTTTTTCTTCTGAGACAGGGTCTTGCTATGTAGTCCAGGCTGGCCTCAAACTCAGAGTGATGCTCCTGCCTCAGCCTCGGAAGTACTGAGTTCACAGGTGAGTGGCACCACTCCCAGCCTTAGAGGCTGGGCAAATTAGTGATTTAGGTGAGACCCAGTCTCAACATAAAAAAAGAAAAGGGATGTGGCTGAGTGACAGAGTTCTTGCTTTGTGTATACAAGGCCCTAGGTTCATCCCCTGCACCACAAAAAAAGGAAAAAAGAAAGAAAGCAAGCAAGCAAGAAAGAAAGAAAGAAAGGGAAAAGGGTGGGGGAACGTACCTTAATGGGAAGGCCCTGGGTTCAAGCCCCACCACCAAAAACCAAAAAACAATCAAATACAGAAAAACATAACTAATATTAATGCCTGGCACGATTACTGGCGCTTTGCCATATTTGAAAGCAGAGCCAGGCGTGGTGTTACACACCAGCAATCCCAGGATTACAGACAGCTGAGTTAGGTAGAAATGTCATAGGCAGTCGGACAGGGCCAGGCCCTTGAGGGAGTCAGTGCAGAAAACAAGACCACATCTCAACCGTGGCTGGAGTTGCATCTGAAGAGGTTTAAAGTCACAATGGCCAGATTTACAAACCTCCCTAAGGGGTAAGTGGAAGTTTGAGATCATTGGTACTACCCTTTTGAGATTTCCTGAATCAATTAACCATTATCTTATCGGGGGTGGGCCATCCTCTCCCACCTGCTAAGATTAAGACTAAAGACAAGGTTATAGATTATACAGATTATCGGCCAGTGTTGATGACGTCATCCATGTGCCCCTGCTACTATTGGATCAATACAAGCCAAGCAGCTGTACTTAGAATCCTATTGGTTGATTATAGCTTCGACCCATGTTGTACAGAAGCGGGCTCTTTGGCAGCCCACTTGGGGCCCCTCCTGTCTCCTAGGAGCGATTCGTACCCCCCAGTAAATTTCCCTAGTCAGCCTCCCCTGTTCCTTGGACTTCGGGGAATGCAAACTTGGCATATTAACCTGACAAGTTGGAAGTTACACACTTTTTCCCCTGTATCACCAGGACTCGGACGCTGAGGCAGGAAATTCCAGCCCAGGTCGAACTATACAACGAGACCCTACCCCGCCAAAGCAAGACGGCAGAGAAGGTTTTGTGTTTTTTTACTGCTGTCTGTGGCACCCGGAAGCATGTTCCCAGTTGTTCAATAAATATTTGTCAAATGAGTGAGTTATGTGCATTTGGGGACCCCAGTTCTGGGAGTCGAGGGTCCCCCATGCCAGCTGAAAGGGGGTTGTTTGGTCCAATTTTTGCCAAGGGCCAGGGATCCTGGGAAAGGCAGTGTGTCTTCCTGGGAGGCGGGCTGCTGTACAGAAGCAGCGCTGCCTGCTTCACACAGTTCTGCGCTGTCCCAGCTGTGACCCCCGCATGTCACACAGCGTCCCCGGGGCCTGTCCTGCTCCTCCTCTGCTGTCTCCCGCAGCTACGGTTCGCAGGCTGCTGATCCGCGACTTCTGGGTGCTTGGAGCCTTTGAGAACCCTGGGTGGGGGACAGAGGCAGCCTGGGAGGGAGAGGCGGGTACTTCTCACCCCTCTGCCTCAGGGGATCTCAGCAGAGAAGGCAGCGGGGTTCATCCCCTTCCACACAGGTCTGCACCCAGTTCTGTCGCCTGCCCACTCCATCCCACAAGCCCTAGTATGGTGGTAGCTTCCTGCAGTTGCTGTTCTTTCCTCACTTTTGCTCTTTGTCACATTGGGTGTTGTTTTGTTTTATTTTATTTATTTCTTTGTTTATTTTTTGAGACAGAGTCTCTCTCTCTCCTTTTTTTTTTTTTTTTTCTTTTTGAGACAGGGTCTTGCTATGCAGTTCAGACTGGACTTAAGCTCACTTTGTAGCCCAGGCTGGTCTCGAACTCCCAATGATCCTCCTGCCTCAGTCTCCAAAGTGCTGGGATTACAGGCATGCGCCACCATGCCCAGATTGAGACAGGTTCTCACTATGTAGCCCAGGCTGGCCTCGAACTCCCAGCAATCCTCCTGCCTCAGCCTCCCAAGTGCTGGGTTTAAAGGCGTGAGCCACCATGGCCTCAATTCTTTATCGGATACTGCCATCATCTTCCCTGTGCTTGAGGTGGAAACTGTGGCCACTTAACTCACCACCGGTCCCATCTCTCACAGAAATGAACAGACCAGTCCCAAATTCTGAGCCCGCCTTCCTGACTGGCCCAGCCACATTCTGAAGTCCACCCTGGCTCTTGTGCCTCTGATGCTAGGTCCTCCTTGCCCCTGTCTTCCCCTCCTCAGGCACCCAGCCAGCAGCCCCAGCCAGCCTTCACCCTGGTACAAACTGTCCTTTGGCTGGTGGCCCTGTCCGAGCTGCCTGCCACCTGCTGAGCGGCTTCTCACAGTGACCAGGCTGGCCCTGGCCCCAGCCTTAGTGCTACAGCAAGGGACACTTCTCCGGCCCTGCGGCTTATCTGAGTAGGTTGGCTGGAAGGGCAGGTCGCGAATCTATCGATTCTTCTCCCTGCGACAGAGACAGATCTGGTGGCATTTTCCACAGGCCCTTGTGTGGGTGGCGTGGGTGGTGTGGCCTGGCCTCTCCCCAGCACGTCTGTGGGCTCCCGCCCCAAATACCCTTCCACATCGCTTGGCTGATCAGTGGCTGGAATCTGGACTCCTCCAAAGGACACTGTGTACAACTTGGGGTGCAGGTCGTTCCCTCTGGATTCTGGGGCACAGGGCTGCCCGGCCCCACAGGCCTGCATATTCTCTGGGGAGGGGTGGTCTTGGGGACATTCTTGGCCACAGGGCTCCTGCCTGCCAGCTGTCCAACTCCAGGGAGCGCCGCTCCCTTGGCAGCCCAGCCGAGAGTAGGGTCAGCCTGGGCTGAGCGGCTGGGGCCCCAATTCCCAGAAGGAGCAGGAAGGACCCACCTGTCTATACAATAGACAAAGGTGGCGCCAGCCCAAGGAGCCATCAGCAGGTGAGCAAGTAAACAAAATATAACACAATGGGATATTATTTGGTGATTAGAAGGAATGAAGTTCCCATACATGCTCAGCATGCGGAGGAATACTGGAACCGGTGCAGAGGCAAAAGAACCAGACAAGGCCACTGACTATTATTCCATTCACTTGAAATCTGCATAATCCCCCAGGCGTGGTGTCCCTCACCTTTAATATTAGCCCTCTGGGAGGCCGAGGCAGGAGGACTGCAAGTTTGAGCCCATCCTAGGCAATTTAGAGGGGCCCTGTTTCAAGATAAAAAATAAAAAAAAGTGTCCAGGCTCTGTGGCATAGGCCTGTAATCCTAGCACTCAGGAGGCTGAGGCAGCAGGGTTGCTAAGAGTTCAAGGCCAGCCTGTGCTACATAGGGAGTTCAAGGGCAGCCTGGACTACATAGCAAGACCCTGACTGAAAAAAAAATAAAATAAAATAAAAAAATAAAAACATAAAAAAAGGGCTGAAGACACAGTTCAGTGTGAAGGCCCTGGGTACCCTCCCACAGCCCTGTACTATCCAGAATAGATAGGTAGGTCTATAGAGGCAGAAATACAGATTAATGATAGAAGGGAGAAGAGAAAAGTGAGGGTATAGGATTTCTTTTTGGGATGACAAAATTGTTTTAAAACTGAAGGTCCAGCAGAGTGTGGTGGTGCACGCCTGTAATCCCAGCACTCAGGAGGCTGAGGCAGGAGGATCGTTGCGAGTTGGAGACCAGCCTGGGCTATAAAGTGAGCTCAAAGCCAGCCTGAACTGCATAGTGAGTCCCTGTCTCAAAAAGACAAAAAACAAAACCCCCTGGAGGTCGCATCTCACTGTGACTAGAATAAGAACCATTCAATTGTACAATTTAAATGAGTAAAGGGTATGACATGTGAATTATATCTCTATAGTTTGTTTTTCTTCCGGGACCAGGAACCGAACTCATGACCTTGAGCTTGCCTGGCAGGCGCTTTTGCCGCTGAGCTAAATCCCCAGCCCTGTGAATTATATATCAAT